AAAATATATTGTATCATACGCTGTAAAACCTTATTATTATATCGGTATATGTATATCAATATTAATTTATTTTTAAAAATCAACAGAAATAATTATTTTGAATATTATATATTAAAATGATAATTTGGTGTATCTGTTACATTTGTTTTGCAGAAACATTTCTGTATCACTATTTATATCAATATTAATAATTTAACATAAAAATAGTACCATATTTATAGTTTTTAATTATAACGAAAACTACCTCACATTGCTTCCATTTAAATTATTAAAATCTATTAAGTGCATTTGTGGCTATTTATATACATATATATACATATATATTACTCTTTTTATATGTTTAAAAAAAATACAATTTCTTTGAAATTTATATACTAACATGTAAAACAAATATGTTACTATATAATATTTGCTGAGAATGCAAAAACAATAAATGTATTTTTTATGACTCTATTATACAATGAACAAAAATAAATATATTTTGTATTTTATTTAGATAAAATACTATAAATAATTTATATGATCATCATACATTCATTCAATTCACATCAGTCACAAAATTCACTTTGATTACAAAATTCTAAATAAGTATATTACGATCAAATAAGGAAATATGTGTACAAAATCTTTCCCTAATTCTAGCACAGTTTCTGTGGTGATTTACCTTGAATGCAAAATTAATGCTTCGATCTTTGTATAAATAATATCAATTCGTTCTACGTAAAATGATATAATGATTTATCAAAAGTCAGTGTATCAAAATATGTACCTGTTTTCTTCAATTACATTTTTAAAAAAAATATGTGCCATGTATACATAAAGTAAAAAAAAGGAGATAAGCAAATCATAATTAATCAATTAATCGACGGTAATGCCCCTCATTAATTTTCGAAATTACAATTCTCATCCACGTTAACATCCTTAACTTACAAAAAGGTAAATATTCTCACTCAAAGATAGATAGATAGAAATCATGAATCCGTTAAACCGTCGATTGCAGTGGTAGGCCGTAGATTTATGATGCAACAATAATTTTACGTAACAGTAATTAAATGCATCGCACATCTATGAAAATGATATTACTGAAATCATTCTACGAATTAAATAAATATAATATTTACATCACAGAACCTAAACCATATTTATCGTATCGTTTGAGACATGTGTAATGGCGTTAACATCAAATCGAATGCAGCATCCTTGAAATTTGCGCCTCTTAAATTCGCGTCGTGTAAATCAGATCCCGATAAGTCACAGCACTGTAACAAATATAAATAATTTACTTGTATCATAAAAAAACAAAGAAATATGTATTATAAGAAGAATAATTATTAATAAGATACTACCTCTAAATCAGCACCAGCTAATACAGCTGATCTAAGAATACAGTTTCTTAAAATAGCATTTTTTAACGTAGCCACCCTAAGATTTACAGCAGCCATGATACTGCCTTCAAGATTGGCACCTTTAAGATTTACACCTTCCATATTAGCGGGTACACCTAAAGGGTCTTCAAAATTACACGAATGTAGATCGGCAGCGGCTAAATTCGCGCACAACATTCTTACGCGAATTAACTGTGCACCTTGTAAATTTGCATAAGACAAATCTGCTCGTTCAAAACAACAGCCAGATAAATTCGAACCTGCTAAACTACAGCCACGCATAATTGCATACTGAAATATTATTTCAAAGTTATGATAACTACATTTATTTATTTATTTATTTACATGAACTGAATGTATTATTATAACACCAAAGTAATTCTAATTACCTTAAAATTTATATTCCTGAGATCTAACTTTGATAAGTCAGCACCAACAAAATTAACACCTTGAAATCTAAGTTCTGAAGTTGTAGGTGTTGACATAATTGCTTTAAGTACATCTTTACGAGTAAAGGATACCAAACCACTCCTCTGAAGTTCTTTTTCATCTGCCATTGCAGTCAATATATCAATGGCACCTTCTATTCCATAGAAACGTGCTTCTGCCAAAACACCTAAAAAAAATGAAATATATAAAAATATAAATAAAATTACAACCAAAAAAGAAAAATCTTATATTCAATAGAAAAATTATTTAAATCATAATCACACCAAAAACCCATACAACTAACAAATTAATGAGTTACAAAATATTCTAAAAATCACACCTGCAGCATTCACATTGGCATCAAGTATTATCTGTCCATGTCTTAAATAATTCAACAATGGTTCAAAGTACGTGGGACTTCTATCAATTAAAAACGCACCATTTTTGTCTTGTCGACTAGGTAAGATTCTTTGTTCTGTGTCTGTAGCGTCTGTAAACATTCTGTGTTTTTGTATTATAAGTATGTGCAAAAATATTAACTAAAAATCAATAAAACAGTACCAGTACATTTTCTAATATAGTAATTACAACTCTGCTTAGACCATAAATCAATTAAACATATTTGCTTACCTGGCCAACATACACGTTGGTTCCTTTTTTGTTAAAGTATCTCTGGTTGTTGTGAAATACTTTCCACCGACATTCAGTGTAATCCATTCTGAATTAACTGAATTCTGATTTATCTGACTCCGAGTACAAGGCTTATCCTTTGGAATAAAATCTTCTCCGCATGAAACATATAAAACATCGTCATCCCTGCAAGAAATTCATTCTGCTAAATTATGTGTGCTATGAACATAATAGAAAAATAACTTGATTTTTGATATAGTTTACTTTACCGAACTATATTGATATCATCGATTTCTCCACCCTGAACATTAAATATCCTTTTAGCAGTAATGTTAAATTTTGAACCAGCTGCTGTTAGCAATTCATCTAATGAACTGTTCACTATAAATACCTAAAACAAATACAAATCAAATTATATATCTAAAATTTATTATAATTTATTAAAATAACCACCTAAATCAATTTTGAATGAAAAATTTTGTTATTACAATTCTATTCTACAAGTAAAATTAAATTACATTTCTCCATAAAATGTATTAAATCTTTCATGAGTATAAATTTATCGTCTATAACATAGAAATATTATGAAACAGTAATTCTGTTTATTTTTACAATCCTCTTTTTATACTTATTTTAATTGTTAACTATATAAATTTTTTAATAAGTATAAAAATCTTTTATAAAAATTAAATACAAAAAAATACAAATACAAATAATACAAATAAAACAATAATACAAATAATACAAAAATTAAATGCAAATAAATGGGTTTTAGAAATTATAAGGATATTTTCTCATATTTTAATTGTTCTATTAAAGATTTTATTTAAATATTACCGTCTCCAGTTTAAAAACTAAAAAATATAAATATGTATAAACCATACTTATATTTAATATTCATTAATTAACATATTAACAATAATTAACAAAATTTACTAACACATTTAGATACAAATAAAAATATATCTATTTTGTAGATTAAATATTTTATTTAAACAAAAAGAAATTATAAGAATATTAAATATAAAAATCCCCTAAACAGCTGTCCACGCCAAAAAAAAGATAATTTCCAAGTATATACTTAAAATTCTGTTTATGTAATAAACATACAGCATATATATGTAGCAACATTTTTCTAATATCTCTATAAGTATATCATATATAAATAATATATAAATTTGTATTATTCAAAATAAGATAATATGTAATTTAATTACGATATAAAGCAAAAGTTGAAAAAATATAATGTGAAGGAATTGATTGAAAATAAAAAGTAAACAATTAATCAAAATTTATTATGCATATGAATAAAATCGCAGCCACCTTGCCATTTAAAACATCGGTGCCATTGACAAAAAGTGTTACCCTCTTCATAACTAGAAAACTGTAAATCTTAATGTAATAAAAAAGTAGTATTAGCCAGCAATACTAAATAAAATAAAATCACAAGCAAACTGCATTTAACCCCGAACAACTTGCCATGTTAAAAATGGCTGTAAGATCTGAGGTATACATTTTTCAGATGTTAATACCATACAACTAAACATGAATCATAAGTTTCTCATTGAGAAAAGGCCTTAAGTGTAAAGTTTTGACGCTTTCATAACTGCATATAAAGAAAATTGTAATTTAGGTAAAAATTATTACCATGCTTTGATTATTACATTATAGAAAATCTAAACTACTTTATTTCCGCTTTTTTGATAATTACCAAGATAAAATTTAAAAAATATATCTTTATAATGTTTCGTATCATGTAACAATCTAATTATCTCAATTAAATATAATTAACTTTAATTAAATATAAAAATAACTGTGATTTATTATTACTGAAAGCATGCAAATTTAAGTGAGTGTGTATTATACTGTTATCAGAGAAAATTTCTTCTCTGCTGTTATATTCGATTTGATGAAATCTGGGGACTTTAAGATTGTTTCAGATGCCCATAAAACACTGAACACAGACTTCTGTCTGTGGCGCTGAATCAGAATTATATAAACAAATCTCAGCATTCATATACCAAAACTTAGTGAAACCGTCCAAAAATTGAGTCGTTTTTAGTCATGAAAAATCAACATGGAAGGTCAATAAAGTCCCCGCGTTCTTGCAAGACAGACAGAAATGAGTAGAGTGTCTCTGGTTCCAAGATATTCATATCATGTCACGCGTGCGCAAAATGAGAACCTTCTTGTCTACCATGTTGATTTTTCATAACTACTCACGATTCAATATTCGGGCGGTTTTCCCTAGCGAGTGTCAAGAACCGTCTATATCACTGTGGTGTGTACGGTCGGACGCAAAAGTTTTATGATTTTAAAGTCACTCGTTATTTGCAGCTTACACTATTATACCTAGCAATACGATTTATACTATGCTGCATTATGTACAAAAATCTACAAAAATTCACAAGCGCATTGTGCTACAATAATTTATAAGCGATCTGTTTTACACATAGTCATATATTAAATCAATTTTAAATTTCGTTTCGGCTTATAGGAGATGTTTGTAGCTAGGTAAAAATCATCAAAACCAACTTCACATAATCATACCAAAAGCAAATTCACGCGATAACGTGACAATACTAATTTCTTTAACTCTCCCATGTTTGTTACAAAATATTTTATCGACTTCAATATCTACCTTATTCTATGATACTTGTTATGAATGAAGCTATAGAAAGATTGGTATTACTGATTATTATTCATTTATTCACACAGATCCAACATTTAACCTAGACGCAAAGTAAGAAATTATGGCTACGTACTGTTTCACAGGATGATTTCGTCAGTGAAAATGAATGATTGTTTAACATTCAAGTGAATTATAATCATTTTAAATACTTTATTTATCATGGAGTTGGGTTTACCTAATACGTTATTACCAGGTGATCCACGATTAGTAGATCACATTGTAGGAGAAGTTAAATCTCAAGGAATTTTTGATCAATTTCGTAAAGAATGTATTGCCGATGTTGATACCAAGGTATACAATATATTTGTATATAATATTTAAACAATTGATTCATTATTAAAACCTTATGCAATAATATAATTATTATTATATACATTTTGAACAATATTTTGAAATCATAATATAGTCATTTTTAAAGTAATGTATATATATGGTTTTTACCTACTATATTCAAATACATGCTATATAATAACAATTTTTCATGCTTATCTATAGGCATATATATTGTTGGTAATAATTTTTATCATTTTCATTACAGCCAGCATATCAAAATTTACGTACAAGAGTAGAAGGATCTGTAAATTCTTTCCTTAGCAAACAATCATGGAAACCAGATTTAAACAAAAATCAGTTGAGAGAAACATTAAGGAAGCACATACATGAAGCACCTTATTTAGATGCTGGTGTAGAACGCATAGTAGATCAAGTAGTAAATCCAAAAGTATATTCTGTCTTCATGCATCAGATTGAAGATGTAGTATATAAATTTTTAGGAATAGAAAGACCTAAGGCAAAAGAAAAAAATGGTTTGTGTGGCCTTAAAGATTTATTACCCAAAGATTTAGATCCTGTTTCACCAGAGTCTGATAAAAATAGTTTAAAAGATGTATCTTTGGAGTCTATGGATGCAATGGAAGATTTAGAAATAAAAAAAGATATAAAATTTAATGAACAAAAGTCACTAGACGAAGAAATCTCCAATGAAAAAGATAAAGATAGTATATCTGAGAATGGACAGGTTTCTTCAGAAGAAAAAGCATTAGATGAAAGTGATAAAATTTTTAATAAGACTGGTAGTATTTTAAATTTAAATACATCTGGAAAATCAGATGATAAAACAGAAGAGGATGAAGAAGACAGTCCCACTTTTGAACCAATTGATATTATGAATCTAAATGAATCTAATAATTCCAATGATTCACATTTATCAGGTATATCAGAATTAACTAGCCATAGATCTAGAAGTCCTGATTTTTGTAACGAATTATCAAGAGACAACTTTGATTATAGTAATCAAGATTCACAACTAAGCAAAGTTTCTTCTGATTCTCGATTATCTATTGTAACTGACTTTGGATCTTCTAATCATGCATCAACTCCAATACATGATCCATTGAAAGATGAAGTCAATAAAGATAGGTATGATGTTAAAAATATTAAAGACAATTTTAAAGCTATCAGAGAATATGAATCCAGTAAAAATAGAAGTAATAAAAATATTTTTGAATTAAATAAGAATAAGGATGTACAAGATGTTAAAGATTCTAAAACTATTAAAAACAATTTATCCTCTAAAGAAAATTCTCGTGATGCTACAGATAGCAGTATAAAAGATAGATATGAATATAAAAATAATAAAGATAAAAGCAGAGACCATGAATCTAAATCAAAATCAAAAGATAAAAATCATGTAAAAGATGGGAAGCATCATAGAGATAGAAGTAGTGACAAAAAAAAAGAAAGAAGTCATAGCAGTTCAAAGTATGACAAATATGATAAAAATAAACCTAAAGATAAAAACGATCAACCAAAAGAAACTATAGATAAAATTAAAGATACGGAAAAGGATAACTACAATAAAACAAAGGAAGATAAAATAAGAGAGACAGACAAGAAAGATAATATTAGTAAAGAAGGAAAAGATCTAAAAGATCTTTACAAAGAAAAAATTAGGGAGCTTAGAGAAAAGAAAGAATTAACAGAAAAAGAAAAATTAAATAAAGACAACAAAGAATCAAAATCAAATAAAGAAAATAAAGACAAAAAGGATTCTCCAAAAGATAAAAAGTTGTATAAAAAAGATCATAAAACTTTCTCCAAAAATTCTTCATCAAGTTCTCATGAAGTGAAAACTATTAAAGCATCTGAAAAAGTTATTGATGGGAAAGAAAAAAGAAATGAATCAAAGGACAGAGATAAGAATAAACGAGATGAAAGACGTACTTCTAAAGATCATATGAAGTCTAAAAATCATATCAGTATGAAATCAGACCCACCAGAAAAATTAGATAAACAGGATGTAAAGAAATTTATAAAAAGTGAAAAAGAAGAAAAGATTGATAAACCTGAAATAAGAAAAGATGTTAAGTCAAATAATGAAAAGATAAATGGTAAAAAGGACGCTAAAAATCATACGCAAAGTAAAAGTTCAACACGAAACGAGAAATTAGATAGCAAGAAAGATAATAAAAGTGATTCCCAACATAAAGACAAAAGGCGAAGAGAAGAGAAAAAGTCCAAGTCAAAAGATGACCATTCTAGTTTAAGAAGGAATTCTAATGATCGACGTTCTACAGATAGAGATGGTTCAAATGGGTCAAGTAGCAAAAGTTCACAGTCTAGTAATTCCGGATCTAACATTGCAAATAATAAGTCAAACACATCAACTTTTTCTAAAGAAACAAATCATATGAGTAATTCAGGCAGTGAAACATCAGACAATGTTGAAGAATCACATCCAAGTGATCTAAAGTTATCATTTGAACAACAAAGTTATAAATTGGATAAAACAACAGAATTACATACAGAATATAAAACTGACAACACTAATAATCATGAAATACATATTAAACAAGAATTAGAATTTAATGACATTAACCTGCCTCTAAAAAAACGAGCATTGCTAGAAGAAGACTATAGCATTTCAGGAGAAATGAAAGTAAAAAAACCAAAATTTGCAAAAAATATACATGAAGCTAAAAAATTAATGAAAATTAGGAAACAAATAGAGAAACAGAAGCTTAAAGAAAATAAAAAATTAGAGAAGAAACTTAGTGAAAAAATAGAACAACCAATTCAAACAAATACCATAAATAATGATAATGTTGAAAGTATGCCAGATGAAGAACGTGTTCAAATAATAGAAATACCAGATGAAGAATATGAAGAGCCATATCCTGAGAAATATACTAATTTAACATTAGAAGAAAGATCAATAATGATGTTACAAACTGAAGCTGGTGCAAAAGATTTGTTGGAGACACATTCTAATCTAAAATTGAAATTGTCAGACATGGAACTGTGTATAAAAAAATCATTAAGTGAAACACTTCCCAATAAAATAGAAAAGGAATCTATCCAACCACTGAGTTCAAATATTCAAAAAACATTGTTTAGTAAGAAAGGAGTTGAAAATTCACAAAACAAAGAATTGTCTTCTAGCATAGAAGAAGCAGACAACAATATGATAAAGGCAGAAGAAATAGATCATTCTGTAGACATATATTCTAAAAAGGAAATGCAACAAGAAACCAGTGTATCTAAAATAAAAATACATGTAGTACCTCAAGAACCAAGCCATTTTAGTATTGATAGTAATAAAAAAGATGTAAGCGAGAAAAAAGAGCAATTACAATTAAGTAATATAAATACACATAACATGACTTGTTCAAACAATAATAAAAGTATAGAGATACCTACAACATCAAAATTTAGAGATCAAGATGTTTCTCAGGATGCTCAAAATAGTAGTCTTTCTAATGTAAATAGCTGTATAATTAATAGAGATTGCATTATAAAATCTAAAGAGCAACCAGAGGCAATAGAATCAACATCAATGGAAACTGAAGATAACGAAGATTGTCGTTACTTCAAAGCAGATAATGAAAAATCAGAAAAATTTTCTAGTTTCTTAGAATCATTGGAATTGATAGAAAACAGTTCTTTAGAAGACATAATAGAGAGTTTAGGAGGTCAAGTTGTATCTTCAGTGCCAAAAGCTATGGCACCACCTTTGCCAAAACGCAAACATTCGTCTAGCCCATTAACAGATATATTATTAAATAATTCAAATAATAATAACGATAGTCAAAAAGGACTGAGTCTACCTAATGAAGAAGCATTAAGTAATATAAAAAAGAGAAAACTGGTACCTAAGAAGCAAAGGCTTCAACCAAACATATGTGCTCCACAAGGACTTTTAAATGGGGAAAATTTTGTTATGCCTTTAAGTCCAGAAAGTGATGTATCTGCAACAAGTGAAAAAATACCCTCTTCAAATCTGATTAAAGAAGACAAAGGGTATGTTGAATAATTATTTCTTTTTCATTTTTACTTATTTTTTTTAACCCCTTAATGCTTTTCTCAAATTCACCATTATAAAATGCACAAATTTTTCATTTATTCATTTTATGTGGATATGAAAACATTTCTGCATTTCTAAAGATGTCATTATAAAAAATAAAGAATTGTACTCAACATGCCTGATTATACAATGATTAGATCATTTTCTGTACTATTTTTCTGTATAATATTGTAATAATTCAACAATAACACAATAATAATCATAGAAAGAATAAAATGTAACAATAAAAACAATAAAACAAAATTCTAAACTATCGAAAAGAGAACATAATGAAGAATTTTAGTTATTTGAAAACTGAAAAATAGACATATAATATAGACATATATATAATAAGACATACCACTTTAAAGTTGTGGATATTGTTATCTTTTATTCATTTAATATATGTATAAAAGGAAGCAATTACTAAGGCAACATACAATATAATTTATAAATAGCATAAAGTGTTACAGTTTCAATTTTATCCGTGGTTAGATTGAACATCAAGCGGTGGGCATATTGGCTTAGCTCATGAATTGGACATGTTCATATATGTCACGGACGTGAGCGTCAAGGGGTTAATATAGGGAAGGATGTTAATACCAGAGTTTTTTTTTTATAAACTTCTAGATAAATATTTTATTTTTATAAGTATATGTAAAAAATTAAAAATCTTATATTTATTATAAATTTGTTTAAGGTCTCTATTTATGAAAAAAACAAGTTACCTAGAAGCTATTGAGATATCAAATACCAACAAATTATATATAACATACAATGTAAAAAGTTAAATCTACATATTTTTTGTAATGTTAAAATATTTCATTTAAAATATGGATGTATCTTCACTAATCATACTATAATTAGTTTGTTATGTAATTGCAGCCGGCATAGAAGCAGTCAACGTTATTCAAGTGATGACTTATACAAACCACGTCCATTATTTTCAAGTTCTTCTCGTAGAAGTAGGAGATCTAATCAGGTATAGCTAGTAGTTCATAGTCTCAGATGTTGAATTGTTTTACTTTATATAAACAGAAATCCTAACTGTTTTCTAATTCTAGTAACACACCCTATATTATATTTCAATCAAATATTTTTAAACTTTAATTAATGTGAGATACTGATGTGACCAAGGAAAAATTTTGTGAACTATTATACTTATAATATATGTAAAATTTATTCTAAAAATTTAGTCATATCTTTTATGCAAGACATTTAAGTCAATGTATTTAATGTTTCTTTAAGTATGTATTATATTAGAGAAATTTGAAAGTTTTCTATAGATTGACATTTTTTAAATATATTGTAAATTTGAAAAGAAAAATCTGCATTACATCTAAATAGAAAGAATACTAAATATATTTTAAGGAATTCTTACATAATGTTATAATTTGGATAAGAATTACTTACGTAAAATTATTAAATCTAACACAGTATTAACAAAGAAAAATATGCACTTCAAAATATTTTTGAAATAGAAGTAAAGATCTTTTAAGAACATTTATTTAATAAATAATCAAGTTTACAATACTTTGAAAAATTCAGAAAAACGTAAACACAAATACGTATGTAAATGAATTGAAAATTGTTGCAAAAATTTATTTTTTCAAGAATATATATAAATTTTTGTGAATATGTATGTTTAAGTTACATTTGAAATTATATTAAGTACTACATCTGAATAATTCTTGTTTATAAAAAAAAGAATTAATATTTTTTCATATTACTTATATGAAAATTATTGTATAAAATTCAACTTCTTATAAAAAATACACAAATGCGTAATTAATAGTGTGCAATTTTCGTTAATATACAATACATTACATTAAAAATGTACATGATATATTTATAGGACTACAAGTTAGGTAATTATTGTATACATATTATTTAAAACAAACACATTACTTATAACTTTTATGTATGCTTATAAGAAATTTTATAGTGTAATTTTCTTTTAAGTTACTACTTGCTAAAGTGTACATGTTGATAAAGAATGTATAAGAATAGTGCAAGCCTGATAAGATTAAAGGGAAAAAATTGTTAGTACTTTTGAACAGTTATTTTAGAGAATAATGTATGATTCAAAGTATAACAATATTGTTTGCTTCTTGACATATTCTATTGGTAAATATATTGCACTTTAATTTAGCGAAAGTGTTAGTAATTAAAATCAATTTTTCTGTGATGTTAAAAGAAGATAAGCTATAGTTTCTATAAACGTTTTTACCTTTTTCTTTTTTTTAAGTATGAAACAACAGCAACGAGAAAATTGCAATGCAGGGGAACGACTAATTGCACACTATCTCACTTCCAACTCAATACTTAAAGATTGTAATATTACATTTTTACAAAAAAATGTTATATTTATTAATAAGCATGTTCTTTATTCTATACATGCATAAGTTTGTATAAATATGTATATAAAATAGAAGTAGATTACACTTTATTACTATGAAAATATTGTAGAATATTTTTTCCAACTTTTTAAAATATTTATTGCTATATGTAATATAGTAACTAACAATTTATAAAACCCATTATTACTATAATTGCTTTAAAATAAAGTGACTTTTTGTATACATGTTAAACAATCTATAAATATTTAAATCCTACCTTTAATTTTATATATTTGAATAAACAGTTCTACTACATTGTATGATATATTTAAACTGGAATTTTCTTAATTAGGAGTAATACTGTAATTTCTTTAATTAAGTATGTAAAAAGCGATTTCATTTTAAACGTTGCAGATGATAAGGTGAAAATAAAATTGTGTATAATTGCGTGGTTATGTCGATGGAATTATGAAATATTTAATTACAAAGAAATACGTCGTACAAAATATAAAGTTAGCGGTTAAATAATTAAATTATATATTGAAGAAATTTCAATTACATCTGTTGAATTAACCTGTTTTTTCTTTCAACTCAAGGAAAGCTATATATATCGATCGACCTTGTTATTTAATCATACTTGATATAAATATGCAATACGAGCAAAGACCCTTATGTATTATTTAAAACATTATATCATAAGTTAAATTTTTACGTATACAAAAAAAAACAAGTTAATATAATTGACTCGATTGAATCATCTTGGAAAGTACTGCAACGTGTAAAGTATTGCACGCGATAGTTCGTAATCACGATATTTTCTATAAATAGAATATGTGAATAGTTTGTCATACGGTGCGTAACACAATCTTGTACGTGTTTTTACAACACGTGCATTGTCTAGAGTGTTATAGAACTGCCTGTAGAATGTTGTTATAAAGCACGAAATTCAAAGCAAATACTAAATTTTTCAATGACATTGATCATTTACCTTTACTTTGTGACATTGGCTCTTATAATGGATTTTATAATATTAAACGAAGACAAATGTTGATTCTTTAACAAAATATAAGTGTAATTGATATAAAAAATGTAAGTTATAAAACATAATTGTTGTTTTAAATATGCATTAATATAATATAAATAAAAAATATGCATTAATATAAGTATTAAGTAGTAATATTTTCAAAATGAACATCACCAAACAATGAATATTTTCTTTGAAATAAACATTTATATTGATTTCTAATACATGTTAGTGATATTTTAAAAGGAATAGAATAGAGTAGAGAAACCTTAAAATTTGTAATCAAGTGCATTAGGTAAAATGCTAAACATCCGAGATAACTTTTACCGAATATGTAAGAAACAATATATATATATATATATGTACAAGCATGAATAGCATGCTTGTAACAATATCAGACTACTTATTAAGCTGCTACTGCGTAGCATACTACACGCACCAACCACGTGGTTGAATACGACGCATGCGCGACACGTGCACGAACACCTAACCTCACCGAACAAATGTATGACGACTTCATATAACCGTATCGCGAAGAATGCCAGTATGTATCGAGTTCCGTAACGATTCGAATAAACAACCAGACATAAACGCCATGTGCCCCTGTATTTCATGAAAGTAGTGTAAGCAAGTAGAATAATTTATTTGCGGCACGAATACCTGGAGGGGGCTATACATTGTAAATTTGCCTGTCGGGGTAGTAGCCTTTTCAATTCCAATACGGTTCCATTAAGACACGATCAACGAGTACGATTACATCTCATCATTTTTAAAGAACGAACGTTATTCTCATATCCTACCAAATGAACGTTTCGGCGATTCCAAGGCAAATGCTACTACATAAATGGTAAACTCGGCATTAGCTATTGCCAAAAACGTGTTGTCTGCTTTCACAGAGTGCATATAGAATTTGCGGCATTTTAAAAGGCGTCAACTAAAGTTTTGTGGAACGTCTTCAAAAAATATGAATGCGGAAGTTTATGAAACCTTGCCTACATCTTCTGTAGCTATACACATGACAGCAGGTGCAATCGCCGGAATTATGGAACATTGTGTGATGTATCCACTCGACAGTGTTAAGGTAATAGCTTTATTTCTCGCACATTTTTTCTTCAGTACTTTACATAACCTTAACTATCATCTCACGGAATTTCATTTCCGCCGTATTCTAATAAAGCTCAATGACATTTAATATCATGACAATGCAAGTCGCACAGTCTTTGAATAGTAATAAATGTGATTTTCGAAGACAGTTTTCTGGATTTTACCATTTCCTTCGTCGAAATCTAGAAATCAAGTTTTACGTTATGCGATTGTCGTAATCTTAAGTAAATAGTGAAGTACTTAAATTTTCAAGATAAATACAATTAATCTTCATGAGATATTAACATTTCACCGTATAATTTCGTGTTTTATATCACAGCTATAAAGTTATTGTGCAATCAGTTTAAGCAATATAATTTCATAATTATTTCCAGGTACCAATTCTTAGAATTTACAAACGACTGAATTAATCATCAAATGATTTAGCATTAATGTTCTGTAATAATTGTTTACTATTTTTCAATACTTATTAAAACAGCAAGTATACTATTTATTATGTCACAAAACATTGCTGATACTATATATTTAGCCATTTACATAAATAATGATGAAATTATATATGTTAACTGATAATGATGAATAAAACAGATTTTGTGTAATAAAAAATAAACTCTCTACTCTCTACTTAATTATTTTTAATTCTTAAATGTACAAGTATTATTTTTTCATGATCCCTCTTTATTATTACAATATATAATTGAACTCTTTTATTATATTCAGAAACTTGTGTTTTAATATTTAGTTTATAATCAATAAAAAAATAACATTTTATAAAGTAATTTTTTTTAAATATAAAGACAATTTCAGTATTTGATTTATATATTGTGTTATATTGGAATATATATATATATAAACACATAATTTATTAAATGTTAAATGATCAAATGTATATAGACAATATCCAAACTATTCTGTTTGTATTTTTTTGATACTGCAAAAGATTTATTGTTTGACAACATGAAATGATTAAATAGAACATGAGATTCAAATATTCATTACATAACACATTTCTTAGTTCTGTTACAGTAGGTTCTATTTTTGGATTTCTTTTCAACCTACAATCTATATTAGTAGTTACTTTCACATCTAATTGTTAGAAAATATACTTGCAAAGAAATGTAGATATAAAGTAGTACAAAAATTTATTTCATATAAACAATGTATCTCTCCTTAAAGTTTAATGAGCTATTCTATATGTTCCATATATTATTTAGAAAATAATAAATATGTGCATTATTATCTGTTATTTTCATTTATTATCATCTTACATTTTTAATAACAAAGATATAATGATTAAAAAGATCAGTAAAAAATAATCATATCTATAAATAATTGCAAGACATGGTTTTAAAGCTATCATAATACTTTCATATCTTTTTCCATCATCAAGTAATCATTCTAGAATATTAAAAATGTAATAGAGGTTAAATAGTTTCAGTCTTTTGTGTGTTATTATAGTCTGAATATTTTTATATATATTTGTATAAAATTAATATTTTAAATTAGTTATGAGAAGTAATATTTACTTGTATTATTAAGCAAATAAATGAATTTATTTACATGGATGTTTACCTTATTTCATCTTATTTATAATTTTTTTATCTTATTTATATTTAGACAAGAATGCAAGCATTAACACCAAGTTCAGGAAGAGGTGGAGGAGGTGGAGTAGGAACAGTTCTGATTAGAATGGTACAACAAGAAGGTTTTCTGAGACCAATTCGTGGTATGAGTGTAATGGTTGTAGGAGCTGGTCCTGCACATGCATTATATTTTTCGTGTTATGAATTTATTAAAAACAAACTCTTGAGTTCAAGAACAAATCCTAATTTAAATTTAGCTGCATATGGAACTGCTGGTTGTTTGGCAACACTTCTTCACGATGGTATAATGAATCCAGCAGAAGGTAAAGCATCCTACAATTAGCAAATATATAAATTATTTATTTATTATATAATTTAGCTGTTATGCATTGTATATATATTTTAAAGCATATAAAATTTGTTTGGGTGGGGGGAGAAACACAACAAGCTAAATATGATTCATAACTTCTAGAATTTTATTCAATGAAGAATAAAATTATCTTATTCCAGTGGTTAAACAGCGATTACAAATGTATAACTCTCCTTATCGAAATGTTATAACATGTATAACAAATATATACCGAAAAGAAGGTATATATGCATTTTATAGAAGTTATACAACACAGTTAGCTATGAATGTGCCTTTTCAAATGATTCACTTCATGACGTATGAAATTGCACAAGTTTTCACGAATCCTGACCACACATATAATCCAATTGCACATATGGTATCAGGTAAATATATATTTTTAAAAGGAAGTATTTTATTTCATTACATTTAAAACTTTAAAAATGAATTATATAAATTACAGGTGCATTAGCAGGAGCTGTTGCTGCTGCAGTCACAACACCTTTAGATGTTTGTAAAACGCTTCTAAATACACAGAGTGGAGTCCAGGTTCAAGGCATGACAGATGCTATTAAAACAATTTATAGATATGGAGGTTTACGTGGTTATTTCCGTGGTTTGAATGCTCGTGTCCTTTATCAAATGCCAGCAACCACTATTTGTTGGTCAACGTAAGTATACGTTGTAAATATAACGTTATGAAATATAATAATGATTATATATATTATTTCTACAATATTATTTGAAATAGATTATTCAAATTAATACAGTAGTCATAACTATAAAAGATTAAGTGTCTGACTTGAATTGAACATCTAAATTATTTACTCTACCGTTAATGGTAAGAAAAAATGACTAATAAAAGGTTAAATCGTTTCAAGCCATGCATCTTGTGGTAATAATAAAAATCTCACCAATGTCAATTAAAGGGTATTCTAAGATATTGATATTTTTTGTGTATGTTAACAGTTGTTTTTTATAATGTGATGATGCAGTTGGTAAAGCTAATTAAATGACCTACAATGTTATAACTTTGATATGATTTTGAAACAATCTTGAAAAATATAAATGAATCTAATGGTGAATAATGCATTGTGCATATTTAATTCTCGGCTGTTATAAACCCATTCTCAAAAACACTTTATATACTAAACTCTGTCAGATTACAATATTTCAAGATCAGTAAAATCCAATTGATTAGATTAGATTACTATTATGGGCATTATGTATTGTTACAACAAAGGAGTAAATATAAATATGGTATTGGATTATGATAAATATTAAAAACAAATAAAATAAGTTGATTTATTATGTCTATTATATTGTTCCAATATAAATTTCTTTTCCTTCTTCAAAATTATGATATCACGATCACTGAACTCATCTTGATGTTGAGTACAACATTAAGCAAAGAAAATATTAATGACCTTGAAGTAATTTTTAAGGTCACCTTGTGGAGATTTTAAACCTCTCTGACCTATTTTTCCTGAATTTTAACATTAGCAAAAATAATTTAGATGTTCCATTTAAATATGACACCGTGTATAGCATCAAGGATATCAAACATAAGAAATTTTTTATGAATCATTTAGATACGAATTTTTCAAATATGTACTACATGAAAAACAAGGCGATGGATATCGCAGTCCGGAAGTTGACAACGATTATGCAAGTGGCATTAATCAGATGCAAGGTACTTCTAGGTCTAGTCGTTTTCAAGATATGAGTGCATACCTCAACAACAATGCTCCAGCTTCAGTGTTACTTGATGTGACTACAAGATAGGTATTTTTGAATTTTTTATCGACATCACATTGAGAAACTATTGGATGGTGAATAAAGTATCCGTTTTTTCGTATTTGGAGAGTTTATCAAGAATATTTCGTTAATTCATCTGTTGCTCCGGTATTATTACATATGTATAATAATTCATAACGAATGAGTACATGTACAATTAAAAATCCATTTTGAGCCAAGTGCAGGACGCAGGCCCAACGGAATAAGATAAATGTATCAGAAAATTTCTTACGTTACTTCTTAGTGTATGACTGTTTCAAATAATATATATCAACTACATTATGATGACTCCATTTTTTAATATGTCAAAGTAAAGAACAAGTAAGAATTTGCACGTTACCAAGCAATTAAAATATTATCAATTAATAGCAAATATAAAACAATGAATTATGTATAAAAGAATATTTCGTTTTTCTTGATACTATAAAATCGAAATTTTTACTGTACATTACGTTCTATTGAACTAAATAACTAGCAATGTATTACTATAAAAAAAACTAATGAAATGAAATTATTAATTAGCAATATTATTTGAATGATAAAATATTGATGCTAGTATAGATGACTACTGTCTGGTGTGCAGAGATAATTAAACATGCTATCATCTATCCTACTGTTCATATGGAGTAGCGAAAAGTTTATTATGTAAATTAGAAAATTGAATTTATTTTATAAATATAAAATGTAACAATTTTTTCGATAAAATATGTGTAAACTATATTCAATTTATTTATGAAATGATTTATATATTTTTGTTATGAAGTAATTTGCATTATAGCTTATTCGTGTGAATGAATTCTGGCGATCGTAAAGTACGTGATGTGTAAAAAAACTTGAAATGTTACAATAATGATCTATTAAAGTGAGTCATACGTAATTTTTAGTCAAAAGAATATACATGTATTTTGCATAGAAAAAAATTGTGAAAATATTTCACTTAAATACAGTAAAGTTATATTGATTGGTACAAACATTTTTAGATACATTAAATTTGAGAAGTATGCTCCACTTGAATAGTGAATTAGATTATATAGCATATTTAATATTGTACCATATATTTAAGTTACAAGAAAACAGTGGGATGCATGGAAAAGTGATTAACAAGAAATGTGTGTAGCATAATCAAGTGAGTATATTTGAAATATGACTTAAAAATTTTTAATTGGAAACCATATATGCTTTGAAAGAAAAGATACGAAATTTTAGTATTCGATATTTACATGAAATGATAACGCAGGTTCTAAGTTTAGATAAAATGTAAGTTTATAAAAACTTATCAATTACGGAATGAAACGTTAGATAAGTGTTGCGTAAAGGTACAGAAGAACTTAGATTATTTTGTAGAACAGTGTAGATAAGTTAATATTACACGCGTATGTACAGTATAAAGAAACAAGTTAGGAAGAAAGAAAACTGCAACGTTATCGTGCGATAAGTACAATTCGCCTTGATTATACAAGTACAAATTAAGAATTGCTCCTTAGTCAGTTTGTAATATAAACAACAGTGCATCTAAACGTTATAATATAACATAATATTGCTTCCTATGGCTGTGATTACTGGGTCATTTGATGTTGACTTTAAGAGGGAGTAATATCATATGAAAACTCATACTTCACGCCATATTTATTTATTCTTGTTCATCGTTACCGATATATCATTATTTGACGTCATAAAATGTCACTGATTCTTATGTACGCAAATATATATATTTTTTATGATAGAATCTTTTTTCAAATGAAGGAAAAAGGTATTTAAATTATTTTTATGGTGCGAAGATATGATTTTTGACAAGAAAAAAATTTACAATACAATTTAATAGGTACATTAATCTATTCACGTAAATATATTATACATATACACGTTGTATGTATAAAATACGAATGTACCGAATGAATAAGCATTTTACATTATTTATTATTATTAGTATGTGTTCATGTGATATCCAGTGTTTAATGAATTTGTACGTATATCTTATTTGTATCTTGTGTTTACAGTAATCTTCAATCTCCCGAATTTAATTATCGCGCAAAATTAATTGTATATTCTTTTTAATTGTTTAAATAAATATTCACGTTGTAAAGAGTAAAAATTACTATTAGCCGCTCAATTTTTACTATTGTCTTCAAAATTAAATTTTACATATATTTGCGGCGATCACGATGATCAATCGATTTTCATGGACTATTTACCTGAAAAATTAATGAGCAAGTTGCTCGTACATTTTTTTAAAATTAATATTCGTAATATACATATAACATTATTTATCTGTTAAATTTACTCATTTTTTTTTATCACTTTATATATAAAATAATGCTCCCACTGATATTATTGCATAAGTTAATAATGTTAGCGCACTAAAAGGTAATTGAATGACATGCAGTAAAACGTATTACATGTAATAATGATGTAAATAAAATAATTCTGTAAGATATAAAGACAAGTCATGAAAATATTTTTCTTGCCTATTGCATTAATGAGAGAAACATTAGAATATCGAGATGATATGTAATCTTATTTCAGAGTTAGGCTATGTTGAAAATTCTTTATAAATGTAACTTTTTCTTAAATCAATGGGCGTATATTCAAATTTTAATCACTCTTTTGTTTAAACTACTAAGCACATAACAAAATTAAAATATGTCAACCAGAGGAGGAATCTGTGATGCTCGTTGCCAAGCATTTCACACTGCAATGATACAAAAAGAAAAAAACACACGTATTAGATGGTTTTTGAAGAATCAACACAAATTATTAGATCATTTGAGAAAAACGGAGGAAATTAAACTTCCGTCGAAACATGAACCAGAAAAACAACCACCCGTGGATATTGTATATAATTGTGTTATATTTAATATTAATTACCTATATAAGTTGTACAGTGAAAATTAGATGAGATTTTCTGTTTTATAGATACATTTAAAACCCTTACCAAATTGGAAACCTCTCGAACCTGATGGTTCTATCAATATGAACATAACGAAACCCATTGATCCGCAAGTAAGAACTGTTCTGTATGAAGACGCCCCGAGTTTTGTTAACGCTGAAAGTTATATGTCTGAAAGGTTTTACACATAATAATAATTTTTTGTAAATATAGTAAAAAAAAGATGACTGCCTAAAATCGTGCTTAAATAAAAAATATTGATGTTGCATTTCTTTGTTTCAGTATTGCATTGGTATTCTTCCTAATTTCGATTTCTTACATTGAAAATATATATTAGCAAAATTGATATTTTGGGCTAACATCCTCATTGATTATTTTAGAGTAAAAGACATTCCTGAAAATCGCTATTACTATCCGGATTGCACAAGTTGGATATACGGATGGCGCTTAACAGATTATCCACATATTCCACGAAGTAAAGTTGGACAAACAAATATTATGATTCGTGAATTTTATCATTCAAAAATATCGAGCCTTCACAGGGATCCAGAATGGTATCGCTCTTCGAGAAGAATAACATTTATATGTGATGATAAAATGAATTAGTTTCCTATTAGGCGGAAATTTAGTCAGGTAACTTTTTACTTCAAAGTGTTTTGTGAAAATTTTTTACCAATTGTACTTTTCTAAAAACAGCAAAATTTTTGTAAGTGAACGTTTTCCTTTATGATCTACGATTAACTATGATTCATTAATTGTTGCCTTTTTATCTACTTCTAGTTTTCATAAATAATAAACAATTTCCTTTCGTTGATATCACGTTAATATTTCCCATATACAAAATATTAATGTCCTAAATTTTACATTTTTTCTGTATTAAATATTTCTTTATGGTATTTACTTTTCTTTATATATTTTTATGTTCATTTCATCAAATATTAAATATTACAGTCCATACTTTAAGTTTGCATTTTTTGTATTTTTAAAGGAAACAATACATATTTAATCAACAATATTTTACGCTTGACGATACTTCTATAATAGATTTTGTACATCTCATACGCTGTTTTTTTCGTAAATCGTACTTTTTACGATTCTTTCCTCTAAGCTAAACAGCTGTATTTTTCTATTGTTTAAATAAGATGATATATAAAGTAATAAAGATATTGCTAAATTTGTTAAGATCTATTAAACAAAAGATATTTATTATATTGCCTCATCTAAAAAACCAAGAGGAGAGGGAATTATAGAAATCCTATTGCTTCAAGAAAAATGTACCTATTTATAACAATTTACAAAAAAATAGCTTGTAAGATTTATAGCAGAGCGTTCTTTGTGTGTATCATATTTAACGATTACAACTTTATAATCTTTTCTGTTTTTCTACTATCTTCCCATTTCTTCCTTTTTTTTCTTTATCCTTATCTGAATTAATCAAATGTTGTAATCATAACGGTAATAGATAGTCTGCTTGGCCCGGTATAGCATGAAACACAAAATTAATAAACTTCTGAAGATGTTTAGTAACTTTACAAAGCTCTTCGCCCAATAATTTCTTCTCCATATGACAATCGACAATTTCTTTTTTCATGATGGTTATTATATCTTTTAAGCGGACCATTAATTCATAAAATTCATTGATTTGTTGCTGTATTAAAGCATAATTTCCTATGAAATATTTTTTCTCATATAACAAGCGAAATTCAAATAATTTCGTTACCTGAAAGTATTCATGCATTATATGTTTCTCTTTATTACTTCGTAATCGTTCCACACAGAGGATATAAATTAAATCTGCGGCATTTTGTATTTCAAACTGATGTCTCTGAATATGTAAATCTCTGCTCATCTTCTCTTTAAAGTCCAGCATTTCTTTTTTCAATTTTACATGCTGCGCCCTGTATGAATTTTAATTCAAATTACTTATGCAAATGCAATGTTCAGAGATGCGCAGTTATGAACCTCATTATCTGATTAAAATCGGCAATTATATTGTCCCTTTTGGCGCAAAACAGCTTTTCAAATTCTTTGTACAACGATAGGACAACGTGAGTCATTTCCGCGTGCATTTTTCGCGTCACTTCGTTAGTCACGTTTATTCGTTCTTGTACAACTGCTTTTTTAATGTTCTTAGCACATTCTGCGGCTGCTTTAGACCATTCTCCCTGAGAAGTAAATTTGTTTTTATTTTTTTCTTTTTCGTAGACTTGCATAACTTTTAAACTACATTATATGTACACATATTCACTTCTCATTAAACTTTTTTCAATAGCGTATTTTCAACAGCATATTTTTCACGATCGAGAATATACGAATGCTGTCTAAAAAATGCTTTTTGATAAAAATGTTAATTTATACAACAATAGTTAACAATTCCATTACGGCTAGATAAAGAAAATATTCGATAATTCTCGTACTCAACATCCTTGAGGTAATTCAAGATTACACAATCGCATATATATTAAACGTGTTTAGAATAGGATCTTCTATTTGGCGAAGTTACTTGTACTCCAATTACAAATATAAAAGTAATTTAGTATTGGATTCTTTCATATGAATCATGCGATCTTCAATTCCTTCGTTGTTGCTTTAATGCATATATCATTGTCATTAATAGATCATTAATATTATTGCTTCTACATCCGATTATTACAAAGCATTATCAGCTTATTAGATTCTTTCAATGGTATTTTATGCAATTGTATTAATAAAGCTATATTAATAAAAGAATATTAATAAAAATACATTAATATTTATTGTATTAATAAAATAGATGTCATCTTTTTTCAGTAATATATCCTTCTATTTCTTTTCTCGTTATACAAACAAATAAATAAATAGTCACGTGTTATGGTCTGAATGGATAATAATTAAATGATATTCATACTCTCTTTATATGTATATAAAATTTATACAGAAGAAATATAAAAAGTAATGAAAATCATTACTTCAAGTTGTTTTTGTAATTCACGTCGGACAGTTTCAATATAATTTTCGTATTTTTCATGCAACTGTTGAACGTGCAGCTCAGCTTCTTGTCTTTTTTTCGCTTGATACATATAAAACTTCTCTCGCGATTGCCTCTCTATTTTGTCCTTTAGATTTTCTTCAATTTCCTTTTTCACGCGTCCTAAGAGAGCTTCACCAATTTCTAATTATTTTATTTAAGATTACAACTATATACAACATTTTGAATACTTCTATGTTATCTAATATATTTTGATATATATTCACCTATATATATATATATACTATAATGTTACCTAATATATTTTGGTGCACGAATGCTTTTACGATTTGATAATCTGTTGACGGCATGAATTTGGTTTTGGGTAAATGATGGTCAGATGGAATTGGAAAGCATGCTTTTGATGTTTTTGATGGTGTCAATACATCCAACAACTTTATCGTATCATGATGAGTATAATTGAAAAACACCTGTGCCAAAGATGGACCAAGACAAGCGCGAACTACTGACGAAGGTGGAACATCGTTGTTCGAACATGGTTTCACATTACACTTTGGAGCTGTTTGATCTGTAACAATTTCATTTTCTCTCATCTATTTAAAGATGCAGTAGCAATGTAATAAACATGTTAATATTCCAACTTACGCATGACTTTTGTATTTATAATATATTGTAATATACGAGAAATTTATAAAGAGATTAATTTTATAAAGGAATTAACCTTTGCAAGTTGATACTTTTGACTGAATGACAAATGATTAATGGAATAAGGAAACAAAGGAACGAATAATTTATCTCAACTAGCAATATTATGAAATTTAGAATATTCGACAATAATATATATTATATAACAATCTATATATATTGTTTATAATAATAAAATTTTAAAAAAATACAAATTCTATACAGTTTATATTTATGCAATTTATATATATACATAATATTTAATTTAATTTAATGTAAAAGTATAATGCATACAATATTTTATTCTTAATCAATAAAAACTTTTATCTTAAATCTTGCTCTATATACTTTTTGATAAGATCGTATCGGTACATTTTAAAACAAGAGTTTTGAATAAGTTAAAATTAAGAAACTTTACATTCAAGAAATCCATTTTTAAGACGAATTTGTCAAAATACAATGCAAATATAGAACAATCACATTTTAGAAATTAAAAGGGGGAAGTATTTTCAAGTGCAACAACTGTTATACATTAGATTGTATAGTTATAACATTACCCTTATATCAGAAACAACTAGAAAATAATAGCATAAGTATAAATTTTAATATTGATACACAAAACTTGTTCAAACTAATAAAATTTATCATTTTTTATCAAATATAATATTATATTAATTGCAATATCTACACTGTTAAAAACAATAACAATGAGAAAATTAAATATGATTTAATTGATTCGATGAAAATTGAAAATTCGAGAAATTGATTCTTTGGAGAAATTTGTTTATTTCAACTAGTTTTGTGTATTTTAACTATGTACGAGTAGATTTTTATTTGATCGATTTCGTAATTTATAGTTCTAAATATAAAAATTACCTGATCTTCCAAATCATGTTAAGTTCGTACATTTATGGTTATTGTTACATTAAAAGTAAACAATGTATATAACTTTTGAAGGTTAACGATGCAAATTAATACTGTGAATAAATTAAAATGAAAAATATAGTAGCGATTTATCCTCTATATTAGTCTACATCACGATTGTACAAACGGGTCTCGACACTTGTTAGGGAAAACCGTCCAAAAATTGAGTTGTAGCTAGTCGTGAGAAATCAACATGGAATATAACAAAGTTCGCGTTCTTACGAGACAGACAGAGATGAGTAGAATGTCTCAATCTCTTTCTGAGGTATTAATAACATGACACGCATGTGCAGAATCGAAACCCTTCCTATCTTCCATGTTGGTTTCTTACAACTCAATTTTCGGACGGTTTCCTCTATGCTTCCAGTATTGAGTGTTGAGACTGTGATTTATATGACAGTGTTTGCCGATCTGTTTCACTAACGAAGATGTCGCCACCTAGGTTAACCTTTTCTATTCTAGTATGCGAGGTTTACGTTTATATGCGGTAAATTATAGAATATGAAAATAAATACAATTAGTTATAAAAATGATACCAGTTATATATCTTGTTACAGAACAATTAAAACGGCGAAATAATTTTATAGTGTCATCAGTTTTAAGGTGTTTTAATGTTTCATTATACTTGAAATTACCTTAATTGTATTTGGTAGAATTTTAGTAATTACATTAATTTATTTTATAAATATGATTTTTAGACAGTTAGGTTCTAGAGTTAAGTTTACCCAAAGTATAAGAAATAAACAAAGCAAAGGCAATGCACAGTCTATAAGTACTTTATTTAAACCAGCTCTTGTAAAGAAAGATTCAGATACTGCAAGTGTTGGAATTGAATTATGTGGTATCTTAAGCAAACGTAAAATTATACAAATTTTATGTGACTTTGCAAAAACTGAATCGATTAAAGAGCTAAGTGCAAAATACGGATTAGATGGTAATCTTTTTGTATTTGTATATCATGTGATAAAATATTAATTCTGTAAAATTTTTTGTTCTTAATTATCTAATCATTTGCAGATGTAATTTTTACCTCAGCTATGGGAAATTTTCGGAAACATTGTATAGAATCTGACAAATTACCTGCAGATCTTCATATTATTCTAAGTGACATTATACAAGGCTCTGGAAATATTACAGATATATTTCCATACTTTTTGAATCATGCAAAACAAATGTATCCACATATTGACTGTTTAGATGAATTGAGAAAAATCAGTGATTTACGAAATCCTCTTTATTGGTAGTTGTTAACTTATAAAATTTAAAAAGGTTGATACGTGAAAAAGGTCTATTTTAATTATTATTATTTTAGGTATCCTATAGCTAGGTCTAAGAGAAGAAAAATTATATTTCATGCTGGACCTACGAATAGTGGTAAAACGTATCATGCGTTAGAAAGATTTATCTCAGCAAAAAGTGGTGTTTATTGTGGACCTTTAAAGTTATTAGCTAATGAAGTTTTTAATAAATGCAACTCCAGAGTTAGTATAAAAAATAATTATTTTGTTTTTTGTTACTTATTTTATTAAATATGAATAAATTTAGGGTACACCATGTGATCTAGTAACGGGAGAAGAACACAAATATGCAAAGAATGTAACATCTCCTGCAAACCACGTATCATGTTCTATAGAAATGGCAAACATACAAAATATTTGTAAGTAAATTTAATTAATAATCTTCAATTTATACAATATTATTACCTTTTATATTTAATTATTTATTTATATAATTTTATCAAATAATTTGAACAAAAAATACTTTAATAATTGTTACAGATGAAGTAGGTGTAATTGATGAAATTCAACTAATACGTGATCCAAATAGAGGGTGGGCATGGACAAGGGCTCTTCTTGGGCTAGCAGCAGATGAAATACATTTATGTGGTGAATCTGCTGCCATATCTATAGTGCGTTATATAACTTTACTTTATAAACTTTATAAACATATTGAAACAAAAAATTTTTTAAACTATAATATATCGTAATTTCTGTGATAATGTAGGTACAGTCTATTTGCCTCACAACTGGAGAGTCGGTAGAAATAAAACAATATGAACGATTAACCCCACTCGAAGTAGAGAACTCGGCACTTTGTTCCTTACGAAAAATTCAACCAGGAGACTGTATAGTTTGTTTTAGTAGAAATGAGATATTCTCTGTATCAAGTGCCATTGAGAAAATGGGACATAAAGTAGCTGTAATATATGGCAGTTTGCCACCAGGCACAAAAATAGCGCAAGCTGCAAGATTTAATGATATCAATGATCCTTGTAAGATATTAGTAGCTACTAATGCAATAGGAATGGGACTTAATTTGTAAGATCATAATTAAAAATTTTAATCCTTTTGCACGATATAACGAAAATACAAAATATGTCTATATTTTTTCAGACATATTCGTAGAATTATATTTTATTCTATTGTTCAACCAACTATAAATGAGAAAGGAGAAGCAGGTGTTGATACAATTTCTGTATCATCTGCATTACAAATAGCGGGTCGGGCTGGTCGTTATGGAACGCAATGGTCGAAGGTACTTTATAATCAAATTTAATAAATAAATTAAAAATCATTTTAGTGGTAGATGAAATTTAATATTACTAATCTTTTATTTTTTAGGGATTTGTAACAACTTATAAACCTGAAGATCTTCCTTTATTAAAAAAACTACTACAACAGATTCCAGAAGAAATTGAACAAGCTGGAGTTCATCCAACACCAGATCAAATAGAATTATATGCCTATTATTTACCAAATGCACCATTGTCAAATCTTATTGTAATGTATTTCAATATATATTTAATTTATAATTTATTATGATCTTAATATATTTCTTTTGCTTTTCCAGAATATCTTTATTGCGTTATGTGAACTTGATAGCACTTTATATTTTATTTGCAATTTAGATGATTTTAAATTTCTTGCTGATACGATACAACATATACCATTACCTCTTCGTACACGATATGTGTTTTGTTGTGCACCAGTCAATAGAAAGATGCCTCTAACGTGCAGTATGCTTTTAAAGGTAAATTAAAATATCAATAAAATTATAAAACTTCATATTAAAAAATTTTTATGTATTTTTTATACAGTATGCTCGACAATGCAGTAAAAATGAACCGGCAACTGTTTTATGGTTACGTAGACAAATTAATTGGCCTCCTAAAATACCATTGAATCTCGCTGATCTTCTACGTTTAGAAAGTATATTTGATGTATTGGATGTTTATCTTTGGTTAAGGCAAGTAATTGTACAATAATATGTACAGATTAACATCTGTGTTAATACACAGAGCATTTCAGCAATTATGGTATAATCAGCAAAGAGACGATTTTCTGTAAAAAAAATACGCTGAAAATATGAGATATAATTTTGTCATTTGTAACTTTGTTTAACACTAAACGTACCGACACTTCGTGTATACCTAATTCTACCATGTGCGGTCAAAATGATTGATGATTAAAGAAGTAATAATTTTTATGATTTAACTTAGATAATGGTTAATTTATAACTAAATGTATATAAAATGATGAACTTTCATAAAATTTTGTCCAAATTTACTTTTGTTTAATTTCAATTATAGACTTAAATTATTAGACACTTTTATTTATATAGAGATATATCTTATTCAACTTTGGTGCATTTTTTGCAAATTATCTTATTATCAAATGTACATTTACCGCATAAATATTTCCCGCATCTTAAACAAATTTTCGTAATTTTGTAACCTTTACAATTTTTTACTTGATAAGTTTTTTGTAGTAATGAATCTGAACTTGTTGATAGTTTTATTGCATGGCTTTTTTCCCGCGATTCTTTATGTAAAAATAATGTATACACTAGATTTATAACAATTTTGTGAAATTGGCCCCATACTGTAGATACCATTGCAAATTTATTGGTTCGTAAACGTTGACTTGTTTAAAACCTCATAATTTCAACAAAGTCATTCCTGCTCATTGTTTTTGAAAAAAATGCAGGTCTCCAAATTTTATTCCACAAATATGAGACATCTAAATTTTTTGCCTGATATGCACCGCGGGCATATAGCGGAGCAATAAATGCATCTAGTTTTGTTGCATCTAGCTCCTTCTTAGTACCCAATACTCTAAATGCTTCTGTACATTTTATTATATGATCCCTTATACGGTGATCAATAAGCGGAGCAATAAATGCATCTAGTTTTGTTGTATCTAGCTCCCTCTTAGTCCCCAATACTCTAAATGCTTCTTCTTCCATACATTTTATTATACGATCCTTTATACGGTGATCAATGATAGGATAAAATGCCGTCTTTATTTGTCCTTTCATTATGTGCCGTTTAGCATATCCCTAAAAATATTATGAACTGATGTCCTACCAGATTTGGGACTTGTATCTATTTCTCTCCAAACTGTCTCATCGGGCCCAGTTTCGATACATTGGTTCTCTACATCAATTTCACCCTTTGCTGTCAACGATAATTTCTTTTCTTTTTGTTCTTACGTAAACGCTTATGTATAATATTCAACTCTGATTCGATTGTAAATAGCTTTTCATGTGTCTCCATGTCGTTTTCAGTTGCAGAATTTTTTTGTTCATCGCACACTAAAAAGTCTTCTTCTACGTCCGTTATTTTTTTTTTAAAGTCTTGACATTTCTAGGATAAATATTTATCACAGAATAATACCATGTACGGAATACAAAATTATTGTCAAATTTGATATGTTTTACTTTTCCTTTTATAACAACTTTGCACAAAACGCTCTGAGATGCTTTCTGTCTGAGTTTTAGAAATAACAAGTTTAGATGTTAACTAATTGACTAACAAACTGAGATGTATTCTAGTCGAAAGGACAATAGCAAATTAGAATATGGTCTGTGACGGCGATATTTATACGAAAACATTGATGAGTATTGGCCGTTCTCCACCAACGGTTACTCGAGGGTGGAGATGGGAAAGCGTTTCCCGTGTTTTATCGCAATGAGCAATAACCCTAAAAAACTTCTTGACTTTTAAAATGTTTGTAACAATTTAAATTTTATGGCAGTTCCTTAGGATTATTATGCGCCTGTGTTGATATGTTTTGACAGCTGGTGGCCATCTTCATCGAGGGATGGATTATGTTTTATGACAAGATTACTGGTGTAACAGCTGTTATTATTTGTTATTACTGATTTTGTCCATCATTTGACCTTGAGATAGCCTTTTCTTTGTACTGATTGCATTTATTTTAAGAATAACTAAGATATTTCGTCGGGCGGTTAAAATGACCGCTCACGATAGGCAAGGCAGAGTACAAATTTTTCTCAGAAAGTAAAAGAGCAAACTAAAAGTAAATACCGAAAAATATATTGTATACATGTTTTAGGAAAAATAAGAAATTATGAAGCGGTATGATAAAGTTTAAATATGGTTAAATTTGTGTAGAAGTTCGAGAGCGGTCAATTTGACCGCCGCTGGTAGATTTAAAAAAAAAAATCGAGTTTGAAAATTTGTCAATTACACATGTACGAAGCTAATTCTTGATGAAACCTGTTCAAACTCTCCTCAGCATGTCTCATATTTCGAAAACAAGGCGTGGTATAAATAAATTTATAGCGCAGGGACATTCTCTTATTAATCGTACCATAATTACTGAGATATTATGTGCAATGCATTGAATTATATTATTTGTAGTTATCGAATGCCAGACTTGTTTCCTGATGCAGATGCAGTTAAATCATTACAAGAAGAATTAGATAAAATTATTGAGCAAGGAATTAAAGGAATTACAAGATTATTTAAGAAGTCGAAAACAGGTACATCAATTATTGTTTGAAGTATGCTGTTCATAACAAAATTTATATACGATTATATAGAATTTGATTTATAATTATTTATGACATTATTGAAAATTTATTTATGGAATTAAAAATAGGTTGAATAATGTTTGCTTTTATTAGATTCTGTGATTGATAAAGAACAGTCGTCTTGTCCGGACGAAAATCTACAAACAAATGGTAATTTGTTAGATATTAAAAGCATTATGTGTTTATTTTTCATAATTCTATAAATTACATGCATATATATATGTTGCAGGTAAACATCGGAAAAATACATTAAGTTATACGTTGATATCTCGAGGTCTCCTAACACCAAAAATGTTAGAACAATTAAGAATAGAATGGTCTACGGTAAAAAGAATCTCTTCTATAAACTAAAAAATTTCTATAATTTAATCAGTTAAATTATGGATAAGTATATCAACTTTTTTTATAAACTTTTTTCGTTTCGTTTTTTCGTTAAAACTTAAATCGTTTTAGGAATCCAACAAAAGAACTTCAATAGATACGAAAAGAAGTGGACCAAAATCTCGCAGCTAAGAAATCATGTTACTCAATTATTGTAACTTAAATGAGACTTATAGAATGTTTCTTTTGGAAGATAATGCGAGAGAGATTAAAGAAAACTTTTTAAATAATTTTTGTGCATCTTTAAAACAATTAGTGTACTCCCTACAGGAATTAGAAATGAGATAATTAAGATAAAAAGACGCAATTAAAATTCGTACTTCTAAAAAAATTTTATTTAAAATTATTTGAAGATATTTATAAATTCATATTTGCGATCTTGTCTGTTTGCACGTTTGTTTTTTCGACGAACTGAATATATATTCTGCTGTTGTTCTGTAAATATTGAAGGATTGCGAGGACATACAAGCTTTTTCAATTTATGCTGTAATGTGTGAGACAGAGAAATGCATCTTGTACATCTTGATGAATCGTTATTCACTATCAGTGGACATAAAACATGTCGCCATTTTATACCATCTTTATAAGCAACTATGATACGATGCATATTTTGGAATCTTTCGGTATTATATATACCTAATTTAGAAAATAAAAGCTTTATTTCTTGAAAATAATCAAAGAATAAAAAATATATATAAATACCTTGACAGACGGTTCTTTGATTGAATTCATCAATAAGTTCTTCTATATCTAATAAACTCTGTACCTGTAAATGTTTTCCTTCTCTTATGAGGTTATGAATAAGTGGATTAATCTCTTTATTTACAACAGCACAATGCAACATCATATCACTCTTAATAAACACTTGCTTCTCTGTGAATGGCATTCCACCTTCTGTCATTCCCATATACAAATACACTATCGTTGTTGTGAGACCTTTTGATGTTACTAAACAAGACCAACCACGTGGTAATAATACCTCTGTACATATTTCAAGTAAATCTTCAAACAACATTTGACTTTCATCAATTTCATTACTCATAGGATAATACTTATTTAACTGATTATAATTTAAATTATACATTATTTGATTTTTTATATATACATTCTCTGTGGTTTCAAAATTATTATCTATTGGATTCTCAATAGAAGCAATATCTTTTTTCACTGCTTTATGCTTCCATATCATTGTTTCATGTTCTTCAGAAATATAATTTTTAAAGGGAGACTCTGAGACTTTCTTGGTTACATTGAAATAAGAATCCTCTTTGGATACTTGATTTTGTTTCTCCCTTCTGTCTTCAGGATTTATGTCTTTCATTAAGTTTGTATCAGAAATAATACTGTTTTCCATAAAGTTTGTTGATTTACTCTGTTTTACTTGATTTAAACTTTGCTTCGGAGATTCCTTAATCGTAGATCCATTATAAGATGTATTATTTACATTTGAAATATTTTCCGATAATTCCATTTTCTTTAAGAAGTTTTGCTTAGAATTATGGATACAATCATTAATATCACGAGAAAATTGGTAACGTAAAGATGTAATTTTATGATTCCCATTATTACTTATTTGTAATTTTTCTTCGGTTCTCGGTATGAGGAAATCTGTTTCTTTCTTTTCTACTGTGCTTACTTTATTAAATTTACCTATATTATTATCAGACTCACCAGAATTTTCTTGAGCTTGTGCATTTTCTTCGAGATGATAATTTCTTCCAGGTACAGCTCCTGGTCTCAGTCTGCATTTTTTATATTTTATCTATAAAATAATAGAATTTTTTCATATGTGATGATTTAAAAATTTATGATATTTATATAACATAGCAGCTACAAAACTATTATAACTTACAGTTATAACATATGGTGGCACTCCACTGACCCAATGTGTAATAATATCGTCTTTGTGAAAATGTTTGCTACAGACATATGTATCATCAGTAACAGCATAATTCTCAATAGCTATGGCATTTTGCCACTTTTTACGAGTCTCTGGATCTTTTGGTGCCGAGAAAAAGCTATAAGTGTTTCTGTAATTGGTTTCCTTGCACAATACACACTTGCGCGTCATAATGACACTATAAAATTTATTTTTATATTATCTTACTTTAAAGTATATATAACATTATTACTACACATTTTGTACCGCTCTTTATAGTACATATTATACATTTATTACAATTATTTTAAAGTGACATGGTACAAAACAACAAATCATAAAAATAAATTTAGGTTATACTATCTTTATGCTAAAATACCATCAAAAGTTAATATATATTTGCCTTAAAGCTTCAGTCAATATTATTTTCTATTAATTCCATGGAATTTCACATTTAATTACATACATTTAGCATGATTGTTCACCAGTCGTCAATATTGTTTTAAGGCAACTATTCAGTTTTCGTTCAATAGTATTATTTAATAGGAGATATTAATAGTGGTTGTTAATTTTACACTTCATCTTGAAAAGATGATTCAGAGCATTTTGAGTAGAAATTGAGAGTTTTTTCACGTTTTAATACATCTTTAATAACTTATTTATTTTGATCTTAAATTTTTTTGACTTTCATCGCCCTCTATTGGTTTATTATCATGAATATAGAATGCAAAAATTTTATAAACGAATCCATTTAACTTTGTTTTACAAAACAAAATTTGAATGATCAATTAAAGAAATCTAATGAGGGAATGACAGATATATATACTATTAAATTAAAATTAAACATAAAATGTAGAAAATAAGAAATACAGAAGAAATACATCATTTCAGTTTCGAACACACCTGGAAACTTTTTATGTATTATTATATAAAACATTTTACAATTCAAAACAACATTAAACAATTTCATTAACATTGTGATGAGGCACAATTATCATAATCATACTGATATAAATTTAAAATAATGAAAAAATTGTTTTATTTTCTAACGTCAGTGTTTGTTACTATTTTCTCTTTATTTACTGTTTGTGGGAACTGAGGAACTCTCCTTTGAAGGTAAGTTGCGGAGTTGTAGTTCTTAATGAGGAAATAGATTAAACACACGGAGACATACTCCGGAAGGATTTAAAGTTAAGGATCTCAATGATCTTTAAAATTTGTTCTACTAGAGCAATTCTCGAAATGATGAGATGAAGATATGGGACAAAGTTTTCGGACGAGAATTCTGTAAAAAAGATATGATATCAAATTTCTCGAGATATTTATTTTTATTTTTTTAGAAAGTATTAATTCAGCTTTTTTAATTTTGTGCTTGAAGCTAATCCTCAATGGATTCAAATGCGAAGTAACCTATTTATATCCTTAGTTGATCATTAACGATTGAATTTGATTATGAAACGTCTTGTTGAAAAGTTTCTTGCCCAATTAAAGAGCAATGTGCATCTGCGAACAATGTACCTTCTTTGGTAATAAATCTCATGTGCTTCGTAAGTACGTATTGTTTATGTATTTTCAAGGGGAAACAGGAAATGTTCCACCTTAAAACAGAGAAGCAAGTAAGGAAAGAAGCAAGTGAACAACTTCTTAGTATCTTTTATCTTCTAATGATTAACGAGTTCAATGTTCTTGTTAACGTTTGACCTTTTGAACCTTTAAAAGATTAAATTGGGGAATATTTAGAAATTAATTAAGATTTTGTTATTGTTTTTTCTGTTAAATTGATGTGTTCTCCGTGTTTAAAATTGTAATATTCTTATTACATATATATATAATAATTGTTTGTTTGAAAATCTACAAACAAAATCTACAACATATATAATAATAATACTTAAAGAATATATATATATATATATATATATATTTTAAGAATATATATATATATATATATATATATATATATATATTCTTTAAATATGTATACTTTAATTAGCATTGGTTTAAATAAAGACAAAAATGATAAATATTTTACATTAAAAATACAATTTAAGATAATATTGTAATAAAAGTGAAGTAGAAAAGGTGAGATTAGCAAATTCTTTATTTTCAATAGTTTGTTTTAAAATGTTCATTTTGATCGAAGCATAATATTGTGCGGAAATTCACGTTCAAATATTTCTATTAAATCATAATGAAGACCAAATAAGATGATCTATTATTTAAATAATTATTTTCCAAATATTTTATTTAAATAATGTTTACACCGCAGCTTCAAAATTTGCAACGTGTTCGATTTCTGTGATTCCGTATACAGTTTCCATTCTTCATCTAAGCATTTACACATTTATAAAGACGATAAGTTGACGTATGTATAATCCTTCGTAATCGGACAGTTGTGGTTTCTACTCGATTTTTCATGACTGCATATAATTCGCGAATCCGACACTTTCAGTGATATCAACCACTTACGAAATTGCAAAGGATCGTTGCGTTTTACGCTAAGAAGCTGTTTTTCTTTTTGTGTCCCTTTTTAAACAAATGTCTAAGCAACCGTCGTCGTATTGGTTGACTGAAAACATTTTCTAAGAATGCCCATAACAGTAAAGTGAAAAGAACCACTCCGTATCGAGGAACAAGAAAGCGTTGAAAAAGAACGAAAGTTAATGGTCCTGTTCTTAATGGAGTCCCGACATTGAAAGTAAATGCACGAAAATTGCATAATTTCATTGAAAACGATCGAGCCAATTGATTAAACTCAATTACACCTTTTAGTGGATCTTCTGCCAGATTGCGCTTGAAATTTATTACACATTTTTTAAATACTTCAAGTTACAAAAATAAGGGTTTTCTAAGTAGGTATATACATATATATCTATGTGTACTATTTTTCTTAATTAAGTACTTAACGATGAGTCTGTTACATACTTCGTTTCCAGGATATAGGTTAAATTTGAATGGCCGATGTCTAAAACGCGTTATTTTAGTATTATCTAATTATTTATAGAAAAATTGTGTTCATATAATTTTTTAAATTATTCGGGCGATGTTCACATTAAGAAATAAAGGATAGAGAAATTTATTTAAATGTAATGATTTAATAAATAAAACATATGTATATTTTTCATTTTACTATTCTTATTCGTTCATTTATTATTTATTATAATTTATTTTATTTTATTTTATTTTATTTTATTTTAATACTTCGCTATTTTTACTTTGTTATCATATAATTATAAGAATTCAGACATTTTCTGTTACAGTTTAGGTAAATTTTTATTTATTTTATTTGACGATTAACGTTAAATTTAAGCTAATGATAACTTGAGCTACTGCAAGGAAATGTTGTAGAAAGTT